CTACCGGGTCTGGTCAAGTGGGATTTGTAGTGGAGAAAGTGGCGCTGGGGCAGGTTCTCTCCGAGTACTTCGGTTTCCCCTGCCAATCTTCATTCCACCAATTGCTCCACAATCACCCTCACCTATCATCTGAGGCTGGTACAATAGGCCAGAAGTGGCTGCAGTACAAGGGACTTAGTCCCACCCCACTAGCAATAAAAAACTCAACATGAGAGAAGTAGCCAATAACAACTGCAAAACTCATCACCCCAGCATCGCCTTGAGTATCAGTTGTATTTCAAGAGGAAGCCAGTGCATCAGCTGCAGTTAAAATGGGATCTTGTGGGGAAAAGCCATGATCAAGTGACAGACACCCAGAAAGCAGGGCATTTAACCTTTAATGTCTGAAGTGCACCAGTTGGTACACTGATAAGTATGGTCATCATAGCCAAAGTACTCCGATTTGTGCATTGATGCATTTAAAGGCCGCTATTGGAAGCTCGCGCACATGCCATTAGTAGAAGCATATGCACAATCCTAAATATTTTTAAATATAATAAAATTCAATATAATACATTTTTTGTTGTTATCTACTTGACGTATATACAGGCTTCATCCCCCCGTGTCATGCAACTGAATCTCATCTTTGTGTAATAATCCTTGAAGCACCCGAAAAAGCACAGTCCCACGTCACATATCTTGCATTTCAACTGCCTCTCAATTTCATCATCTTCCAAACAGTGATCACTGCCATTGTATGAGAAAATGAAACTACAATATTCAAATTCACTATGAACTCACAGAAAAGTGAATGCCTTCTGTATCTCAACTGTGATGCAAGCCTTTGGTTGCAACCATACAAAGGGCAGTATTCTCTTGCAGCTGCAGTGGCAGGGCTTGGTACTGAAGTAGCGAACAGTGAGTATTCCCTCTAGCCTTTCTTGAAAGGCCATGTTTTCACTTTTCTGTCCTTTAGTCGAAAGACTAGAATATCCACAGAGTGTAACACAAATGTGAAACTTGCCAGCAGAGAACCAAAAGACTTTATTGCTTCCAGTTGCTTTATGGCACCAGAGAATGCAAAAGCATTTCAAGTATTACAAGCAGGAATGATTTTATAATGCAGAACTACTATGTGAAGAAGTGGGAAACTATTTTTACAGTATGTGTCAAAATTACAAGAAAAAATTAAAAATAGTTTATAAATTTCTGTCTACATATTTTCCAAACTTACATTACAATATGCGACATTATGTTCTTTTCTGATAAAAACAAAGTTAATTCCATTGATTTATCATAAAAATTATATTAGGCATAGCATTTTCAAATACAGTGCAAGCGCCCTAACAGGAACGGACATTTAAACGCAGAGCATCAACAGGCATTTAAATAAACTCCAGCCAGCTCAAGCTACCACCATTTCAAAAGTCTGTTGTTTAAAAATTAGACAACCATTAGGCCATATTACAATATTTATTAAGGGAATGTTGCCCTCATAACCATCATACATAAGGAAGCATAAAAGTTTAATTTTGTTGTTGGTATGATGCATGTGAGAAAAATTTACTTTAATTGATGATCCAGTAATAAATTTTCATTTTCCTTGGCAGAAACATCTGGGAGAAAATGAAAAACAAAAAGAGATTTAGATTTAGCCCATTTTGTAATGATGGAGGAAGAGGCAGGGCGCCTTACTTATATCATTTTCCAAACACTTGAAGTTTGAGAGCTGACAGTTTCTTTCATAATCTGTTGCTGCATTACTTGAATTCTTCACAAACAGATTTTTGCAGGTGGAGTAATGTGTGAAGTTCTTGAGCAGACAGCATTACCAAATTTATATAAGGTACCTGCTGCACATTGTTGAACTCAGCAGTTTCCTTGTTAATAGGATAAAAAAATTTTTAATGGTGGTATATTAATATGGTTATTATGTGTCTGGATGTTGTCCATCCTGTTTTTTACTTAAAACGCACAACGTTTTGGAGACTGGATAATGTCCACACACACAATGATGTGTGTCATCATCCCTTATATTAATATGCAGCTGCACATTGTTCTGAATGAGTTCAAATGCAACAAACTGGCAGAACTTCTAGCTACAGTTACCACAGATGAGCCCTCCATTGATCCAGTCTTATATATTAAATGACAGTTTCACTGAATATGCACACTGATGACAATGAAAAATTGTTTCCAGCAAAGGTCAAGGCTGCAATGGCAGCTGAAGAGTAGGTACCTCTCATTGCTGCGTGGCAATGCTAACTGTGACTACTGTGGCATATTAGAGGGCTATTTGGAAAGTAACCTCCATTTACTTTAGGCAACTTATATATGAACGGGGAGAGCTCATGCATGTGAGGTAGTGTCCCATAACTCATTGCATTATAACCTTCAAATAACTTAGTCACCTAGTGTTTGTTCTTATCTGTATAAAGTGAGTTAAGTTGTGTCCTGCAATTGATAATCCCACCAGCTGCGAAATTCATGCTGTTATCCACTATCTTAATGCTAAAAACATGATTTCTGCAGAAATCCATTGTGAATTATGTGCGGTTTATGGCCGAAATGTAATGAGTGAATGAACTGTAAGACAGTGGCTTAGAATGTTCAAAGATGCATAGGCAAACAAATGTTCAGGATGAAGAATGGAGTTGTTGGCAAGCCATCTGTAGTGAGTGAGTGAGTGTGTTCAAAGCGTTGACCAAAAAATTTGTGACAGATGGTAATTCACAATTTCAGAACTACTGTGTGAATTTCCACAATTCCCTGCACTGTTCTGTATGAGATTATCACAGTTAGGCTAGGCTGTCACAAGTTTTGTGCAAGATGGGTTCTGAAAATGCTCACAGGTGCACCCAAACTGCAGAGAATGGCTTTTGCTTTGACTTTTTTAAAGTGATACCACAAAGATGGTGATGAAATTTTCAGTCACATTGTGATTATCACAGGTGATAAAACCTGTGTTTTATTTGTGAATGTTGAAACCAAAGAGCAACAAAGTAGTGGATGCACACACATTCACACAATCCGAAAAATTTTAAAAAAACCTTATCTGCCACAAAGCTGATGTCAACTGTTTTCTGAGACAGGAAGGGAGTGCTGGTGGTGGAATTCATGCAACAAGAGACAACAATAACTTCAGAAATGTTTTGCATCACACTAAAATAACTGCATGACGGCATTCATAAGAAAGGCGTGGAATGCTGACATCTGGTATAGTGCACCTCTGTGACAATGCGTGTCCATGTACGCCTGGTCACACTTGAACACTGGTGGAGAATTTCAAGTGGGAGTTAGTTATTTAACAACCCCCCTTACAGCCCTGATTTTGCTCCTTACCTACCCAAAGAACTGGTTGAGATCACTGCTTCAACAATAAGGAGTTCTTGATGGAATGTGTCAAAACGTGGCTGAGCTCACAGGCGGCAGACCTCTTTGACACAGGCATACAAAAACTTATTGCCCAATATGACAAGTGTCTCAATGCCAGTGCTGACTACACTGAGTGGTAGTTTAAGTATGTACGTATTTTTTGTATATAATAAAGTCTTTTTCTCATTGCTCATTTTGTTAACAGCTCATCAGAGGTTACTTTCTGATTAGCCCTCATACATTTGAATATCATCATCTCATTACATCTCCAAGTATTCTTTTCTGTTGAGGTTTTTTGACAAAAATGTTAAATGGTGCTCATTTACACCTGCCTACTACACGCTCTGCATGTCTTATCCAGTTCATTTAATAGCCCTAACCATATTCTCTTAGCTGACTCCATGGAATTGAGTCCTTCTTGAGGTCGCAAGTAGTTCAACGACTCAAGAATTTCCCAACATTTTATAAAACCCAAAGATTCACTACTGCATTCACAAGAGCCCTCCACTGGTCCCTGTTCTGAGCCAGATGAAACCACTGCATATCACCCAGTCCAATTTCTCTAACCTCCATTTAATATTATGTTTACACCTACATGTAGGTCTTTCTGTTGGTCTCTCTCCTTCTGGTTTTCTTGCCAAAATTCTATAGGCATTCCTCTTTTCCCCATGTATCCTCCTCCTTGACTTGATCATTCGAATTACATTTTGGTGAAGTGTACAAGTTATGAAGCTTCTCATTATGCAGTGTTAACAGTTCACTGGAGTTTACTTTTTGAACAGCCCTTGTACATAAAGGCAGAATAAATATAAATTGCACGCCTTAGCCTTTTATATGTATGTACTGTGTGGCTTTCATTAAGCTGAACACACAGTAACTCATACTTACTGATATCAAAAGCTGGAAAAAGAGCTGATGATGTGTCTAGAGACAAAGTCTTTTTTTTTTATGGAGGTCAACTGTAGACTGCTGATTGATGTATCATTCCTTTGCAAATGTAGAGCCTGGTTACTATGAGATGGCACAGACCTACACAAAGAAGGGGAAGTGGAAACAAGACAGTGGAGTGAGTAAGTCCATTATGAGGCACTTCAACACAGAAGAAAACGTCTCCAATGAGCTGTACTGTCTACCCCTCAAATCTTCTCTAAGGGAATGTGGACTTGTCCATTCTGCCCATGCATGTGCCATCACATTGTAATTGAACTCTGACACCTCCTCACAAGTGGCACTCTTGTAGGTTGAGGCCCCAGCTGTCTATGTAATCATACTCACTGTCACTTATTTGCAAACTTAGTGAAAATGGAGAGTACAAGGACCATGACACTTGATAATTTTCTGGTGGTCATAATAAATTCCCAATAGCCTTATCACATAGTTTACCTTGCACAAACATGTCTATGCACCATTAGAGCTATAGAGCTGCTGATGATGTTTTTCTTCTTGTTATCACTACCATTGTCAATGGTTTGAGCAGAAAGGAGGAGAGTAAATTGGCAGTTTTCTTTGGAGACAGGAAGAGGCAGTACAGTTGTGTAATATTTGGAGATAACTTCATGTACTCCATTAATCCCATGATTTGGGAACATATTGCATGTATATTTGTGGGTAGAACTGAGAACAAATTGCTGTGCACTTGTCAACAGGATATCTTGACGCTGTGTTGGTCATATCGGCCAAGTGAACGTCCTGACTTTGCCTGTCTTCTGAAGACACTGGAGAAGTTGCCAAAGAAGCGTCTGGCTCGCAGTCCATCACACCCCATACACCTCTCACGTTCTGCAGAGTCTGTCTTTTAATATAAATAATAATATAATAAAGAGAAAATACATGAAGTGATTGGGAGATTATTCATGCCAGTAATGCCTTTCCTAGGGCAAACTCTTACATTAACATGTGTTTAATGTAAATTGTTCCAAATTTGGAAAATTATGAAGTATAGCCACATGGCTAGAATTATAAGTGTATAGAGGAAAGTAGTCTTTCAATGTTTCTGGTTCTTCTATCTACCATATAAATAGTATAATTATTCAAGTTGTGATATTCCAACAGGTTGATTACCCAGATATTTTTAAGTGAAGTTAAGAGTATGCAAATATTGCAATGAATTTGGTCTTCAGCTTCCAATTACTGCATGTAAATTAACCTTTTAACTCAAAACTTCTTTGGATAAAGCATCATTTTAAAAACAAGGTAATAATGGGTAATTCAGTCTTTGCACTTGCAGTAATTTATAAGCCAAGATCCCCAGTAGCTGCTTGCTGTATTCAGAAAAAAATAAGATGTAAGCAGTTTTAAATAACAATGTTTCTTTATTTTGTCCATGGTTTCATGCCTTTTGGGGGAGGCAGGCTAGGCTAACTGAAAATGGATAGTTAAACATTGCAAGAACCGTCTTAAACTTCCCTTTCTTGTGTAGCAAACAATAATTTTACTCTTCTACTGCCAAGTCTATTGCTGCCGGCCATGCAAGCATGCCAGGCTGTTATAAAACTGAGTATAATGAGATATCAGTTTTCAGCATAAGAAGCAGAAATCAGATATTTTGCACAATAGTACCACCTCTTAACCATATAAGCTTGTATGCACTATACAAAATAGAAACTCTGCTTTTAGTCATTGGACAGATTGGATTGTGCATAACCTACTTGGTCAGTTCACTGGCAGGAAAAGTGTTAAAATTATAATACATCATATTCTTATATGGTTATAAGTATAATGAATACCCAGTTGCAATGTCAGAACATACAGTATTACGATTGAAAATTATAACTTTGGCAGTCCCCCCCCATTGCTAGGATGTCTTACATCTTATCTTATATTTTGTGATGCTCTCGCCTATCACATTTTGTCACTTCATTTGATTCATTGCAGTCAGATTCACTTGTACAGATTACAATACTGGTATCTCATCCTATGGCCTATTATACAGCAAGAGTGAGAATCACTTTGTATGCATGTTGCTTTCTGCCTCAGACCAACAGAAACATTCATAAACAATACTGCAATGCGAAATGGAAATTGTTTGAAACCTGAAGTGCCATACATTATTATCATTCTTGTTAATTAATGTTATAATTGTATTATGTAAATAGTGAGATTTCATTCTAGATTGTCTGTCTGCAAATAGTTGTTGCATCAGGTGTTTCTGCTTCAGAATCACATATTTGCATGTTACAGTACTGTTATAGTAGCCTGTGATAACAGCTAACAGTTATTGTGGAGTAAACACTATCTCTTATCTGTATAGATGATTTCTTCTTAATCTATGATGAGTATGCCAGATTGTTAATACACTAATGGCAGAAAATATTTCAAGTACTGGATGCTTGAAACCCATGAAAGTTGAATGTGATGCCACATTGTTACTATCTGTCTAGATTGCAAGCAATCTTCTTTTTCTTGGTGGCTGTAGAATGCATGAGTTTTTTTTTTCAACATTCCAAAGATGTACATACAGATACATGATGTGTGAAGACTGGGAAGAATGTCTTGTAAATGTCTGTCTAGTTTAAGATAAATTTTGCAAGTCATTATGTTCACATAATGTGCCCTCTGTACCCCATATATTGATTTGTCTCCTCTGCCCTCTCTTCTGCCATGTACTTTTCTTTCAGTTACTTGCCAGTTTGGCTTTGTGTACATTTTGCTGTATGTATAGTGTAAAATTTTGCATTCAAAATGTGTGATTTTTATCTGCAGTTTGAAAGTTGTTCCATTTAATAATTTATTTTCCTCTTGAACATCAGTACCATCACTCATTCATGTTATGCATATTCATTTGTCTGTGATTATTTTGTGCCCCTTTTTTACATTTAATTTTTAGCACAGTGATCTGTAATTTTGTTATTTCAGTATATTAGACATTATTTATTATCTTGTAAATAATCAGACCTTGTTGCAAATAATACAAGAAAGTTAATTACATATATGAAATAAGCATTGTAAACATTTTTTCAGCACTGTGATAATTTTATTGCTGTATTAAAACCTTTAGTGTCCTATCAACTTACAGTCCAAGTGAAAAGTTGACCATGAGACATCATAATGTTACTAAAAAGATGTAACAGCAGACAGGTAATTGAAATGTTTCCCAGGCACTGTCTAGAATTGAGGTATGCATGTCACATTTTGTTGAGTATTTTTTGTCAGAAGAAACCGCTGAATTGATTTTTGATGATGAATTAAGGTGCTGATAAAAGTTATGAAATTGATATATCCACTTCTGGAAAAGCTTGAAATTCTTTTGACTGTATTTACCTCCCTCTCATGCCTCTTACTTGATGATAATGTCCTTATTGTCACATTTTTTTCCAGTTCTCTTCTCAAAGCATTCACTTCTGTATAACACACATTCCCTAAAATTGTGATAAATTATAACATACATCTATAGAATCTTTCACTCTTCCCAAGGATTACATCTGTGATGTCATATATCACCTTCTGATCATGTGACACAACTGGATCACTTAGGTTCAGTAATAAATGGATACAGACAAGAGTGTTAGTAATACATTTCTTCTCTCTCTATGGCTCTATAGCCCTTTGGACCTTGGCTGCATTTTCAGTTTCTTAATCCTATATACAGTCAGTATGACTCCTTGGATGGGGGATCAGCATGTTGCAAGGCCACTGCCTACACACAGACATCCATGACTAAAGTGGGATTCAAACCCACAATCCCAGTGTCTGAGCAGGCAAAGATAGTTCATGCCTCAGACTGCGCGGACACTGTGATCGGCCTAGTAATACATATACATACAACCAAATTACATTGTGTAGCTGTTTTATACAGAAATAATTATGATGTACTGGCACGGTTAAACTTAAGCTGCAAATAGTCAGGATGGTATTAGTGATGGGCTCTCTCATGTATAGACCCTCCCTGGGTTATGCAAGATTGACTTACACAATTCAACTTTACCTAGAAAAGTTATAAAAATAAATTTACTATAATTTCGTGGTATGCATGGTTTCTTTATCAAGCTGCCACTACAAGATACAGTATGTTAGGTACATGTCAGTGTTTATTTTTTACTAAGTAAGTAAAGGTATCCCTGTAACAGGCTGTGGAGGCCCATAGGGTTGTATGATGTTGAGGTCCCCACATTTTCTAGACAGTCGGCTCATAGATGGTGGAAAGGTTGTTAACCTTATGCGCTGGCCACCTTTTACCCCCAAGAATATTCCTGGTACTCATTTCTGTTAAGAGGCTGAGTCGACCCCAGGGCCATAGTGCGGCTGGACGGATTGGATCAATTGAAGAAAATCCAATGACCTCATCGGGACTTTTTTGAACCCGTGACCTTCCGGGTTGTAGCATAGTGCCTCAACCAACTATGCTACCAAACTACACATAGAATACCATCAGAGTATATAACAGAAGTATGTATTTACAATAATTTTCAACACATAGAATTTTATTCTTGTAACAGTTTGCAAAACTGAAACAAGTTTCAGACTGTATGTACCCATTTTTCATGGAACCGGACCTATTGGTATTTTAAAGTGGCATGTTTTAATTTGTTCATAATTTATTAGAAGCAGAACTTTTTAAATTTATGTTGGTAAACATTTTAAAATTAAAATACACTACTGTACTGTAATGCCATACATGTTCAAGTAAATGTGGGGTTGTAATTAGCAACCAGATTCATTTGTGGATACTAGAATAGGGTAGTAAATATCTATGGTATGGACTGGGCTTTTTCTGGCAGTACTCAGTGCAATGTATACTGGAACCATTTTAAGACTGAAGATACTAAAAGATTTGTTATTAGGAATAACGAATAATGTACATTTAAGTAAGTGTATGTTTATTGTAATATAAATTTCCTGTACATTAGAGAGATGGGCCAGGATGTTCACTTAAACTGCTGGCTATAACAGGGGTTAGCATATTCCAGTCTGCACCAGCCCCCACAGCTAGTATAAAAGCTCTGTCTATAGTATTTACTCAACATTTGCTTTAAAATAAAGTCATCTAATTAAATGCTAAAGTTAACTTCACATAAACTATATGGACGCAACTGGATATGCAGAAATGACAGTTTTTTATACCTGAACAATAGTATCTTACTTAGACTGCACAAGAGGCGCCCGTTTGATACACACAGCTACATACTTCACTATAGAGCTGGATGATATTATTGACATGAATAAAACATTTTACGTTAGGTGTGAACAAATTTTGTGTAATTACTGAATTAATTTATGTGGAAGCTATGAAAGGCACAGCATATGGTGAAGACTTGTATGAAAGGCTGCTTACAGCTCCTGAACAACATAAGCATACACAGAACATATTAATCATTATGACTAGAGCTAGGATTTTTATGTAAATACATATTTTCTTACTATGTAGGTGCTCAAAAGTAATAATCATCATGAATTGTAGCATTAGCACTGCTACAATTGAATTTTATTCTACATATTTTGGCATTTCCTGCATATTTCTTGGGATGTTACATAAAACATTTTTTGTGTGTATTTTGGTTACTAACTTACTAATAGTCTCCTCCGCCCTTCCAAAAGACTTTTTCTGTAATGGTAGGGAAATCCGAAACGAAATATTCCTTTTGTAAAGCAGAGTAAACTACAACTCCCAGATAATTCTGCTCATTTGTGTGACCTGCACGTTGGGGATTTTTCTAAGAATTCAAATGGTGTCCCTTTGTATTGCAGTTAAAATCCCCTCTCCTCTCACCAAACATACTTGTCCACTCCTGACAACCTGTGTTCTTCTCCTCAAATTTTTGAATGTGATTTTAGTTTTTTACAAGCAGTTCAGTGAGTTAAGTTCAAGTTTACATAGTTGATATAATTATGGTTCTGGTTGGATCCTCTCTGTCATCAAAGTTACTTTTGTGGGTAAAAATAGACGATTCCTTCACAACCAATGGTAAAATCATAATATGTCTGTATTGCAACAAATGTATTGAATGTGGCATGAAATCACAGTTGGAGCAACATGTATGAAGCATGCTGCATACAAAGAATGAGCAACTGAGTTCTTCGAAGAAGCAAGTGCTCCTAACACAGATGCAGCAGTCTTTGACCTCAAGAAACGAATTCTTCAAGGATATGTGCAAGTGGATGGTGTCTGTGAACATCTCCTTGTTTAAACTCCAAATGCCCGGATTTTGGTCCATTTTGGAAATGTAATGCAAGCAACATATTCCAGACCAGTCATCACTTAAAACATTATCTGCCTATTTACTATGAAGAAACCTCGGAGAACATAGGGGATACTTTTATAAGGGTTACTGTGGGTGAAACAACAGATTCCACGAGTCGCTTTATTGCAAACTTTGTGGCTGGCAAGTTAGGCATTGAAGTTCCTTCTTATCCACATTCGATTTGCTCCAAAGTTCTGCGCCAAACAGATCATTCCACTCTTGCAAGATTTGTGAATGATGGGCTAAAAGTGTTGTGGCCTACCAGAGTTCACAAGGAGAGGGTTCTAATTTTGTATTCAGATGCTGCGGCATATAAACATCCTATCAGATCAAAGACAATCAATGACCTCAGAAAATATGGAAAAGATTCTAATTGTCTATTGTGCATCAAAAAATCAACGATTGTGCCAAATATTGTATATAAAGGTTGTTTGCAAAACTAAATATTACTTTTATATAATGTCACATATTTTAATGAATCCACATATTTAACTACATATTTCAGAGGTTTTTGTTACATAATTGTGTACATATTTTGCATTATGATTGCATAAATATCCTAGCTCTAGTTATGACCACATTTGGATTGATGAATTAGAGATGTAATAACATAGGTCTTTTGAAAAGAATGTAAGACGTATTGTGGCATATTCGCTCAAAGCAAGAATTGTGGAGTCACAACAGCCAGCCATTACTAGGCTGTGGCCCATAAATAACAGAGGGATGGTGTTTTCTGAGCAGTCTGTGCACGTAACAGTGGAATATTTCATGTTATTGATAAGCAACAGTTGCACTACAACAGAGGAATGGTGTTTTCTATGTGGTCTATGCCAAGATGTTATAAGCAGGACAAGTTGGGAATTGCAGTTAGTTAGAGAACTATTGCAGTTCAATCAATGTGAGCTGTTGCTGTTAGAAGCTGGTAGCTGAGGCCAGGGACAGTTTGGGAACCAAGAGTAAGCAGAATGTCCACTGTTGGAAGCTGCTATCAAGCCACAGTAGTGAAGATGTGACTGTGGACACTAGTGTGTAATAGTGAACTGTCAAGTGTAGTCAGTCATATGCAGTATCAGAGGCCAGTAAGTGCAGTCATCAATCCAAAACCCATCTATAGTCACTGAAATCATGACAGTATTTCCTGATTAGGATAGACTTCATGTATAGACACAAATAATGCTGTGATTTGGAAATACTGAAAGATGAGAACATGAAAGTTTACCCGACATGCCTGATAGACATTTTGAAATGTTAAACAAATTAAATATAATACTTCAGGGGAAAGACTTATATGCAGTGTTGTAAGACTTTCAAGAAAGAACTGCTTTTGAAGAGTACTACTATCTTCTGGGATGTGACTGTGTAATCAGGAACAAATTCACCAGTGTTTCAGAAAAACGTACTGCCTTCATCTTCACTGTTGCTAGTAAGCTCAGCAAGAAGCAAGCAAGCTGGCTGCTTCTGCTTGGTTTATTCTTCCATCCTAATGATAGTGGTAGTGTATTGTATTTATTACACGTTCCAGCACATCCATACAAGGCCGAAGCAATTGGATACAGAAGCTGTCACACCACAAGCTTGCCAAATCAGCAAGTGGTCAACAGGACAATGCATATAAATCCACAACAATAAATCGAGCATATGAAACCCCTATACATCACTGCAACTACATAACCTACCATGTGTATATAAGATATAATACAAAATTAGAACATATACATGACAACAGATCAAATAATGGATCATAGCTAAACAAGAAACTATCCATAATTAAAATATTCATCTAAAGTGTAATAGGATTTAGTATGTAAATAGGCACTTAAAGCTGCTCTAAATTGCTTAATATTATGGATTAACTCTTTTATATTTAAAGGAAGATGATTAAAAAGTTTAATACCAAAATAATAAGGTCCTCTCTGGTAAGTTGTCAAATTTGCCTGAGGGCGATAAACAGCAAAATTACACCTAATATTAAGGCCATGACTTTGTGATATAAAACCATATTATTTGCAACAAACATCAGTAAAGAAAATATATAT